AAAACAAAAGACATAGACCAATTCTCCACCTTCTGCGAGTCAACATGACCAGCAATGGCCTCGATGGACGATCGACCATTTCCCTATCTAGCAAGGGGATGTCCTTAGACTCCGTACAGTTCAAAATGGAGTCCTTGACACTAAAGATAGATCTTGAGTCTTGATCTTGACTCGTGTTCATGCCAGTGGATGGCTGATTCGCGGGTCTGCAGGTGACCACTGACTGCGCTGTTGGCAGCGCCTTCGAGGGTGCGACGAGCCGAGAGGGGTCTATTGCAGATTCTGAAACAGGCACCGGAAGGGTGCCGTTGGAGCAGTCACAACGACGGGGTTAAAACAAACATTATTAAATCCGTAGACACTAAACAGTCATACTTGGTAGAGACTGCGTGGGTTCTTCCTGCATGTACCCCAGTAAAAGGATTGCATATGCATACTATGGCATCATGGTACTCACACTACGGTAGACATGGTTACATGGTGGCAATCGCGATGGGGCTCACAATGACTACATCTGGGCATCTTGTGAGCATCGACGGCAAGAAGGCCGGAAGGCATGTTCCTCTACACCTCCGACTTGCATTAGATCGTTAGCTAGCCTCATGAGACTAGGCATTTCATCTTCTGTGCGGAGAGCTCAAACCATTCTTTAGTCGGACCAGAAGGCGAGAGCTGGAGTCCTTGAGCTTACGGTTCTCCGTTGGTATCTGCATTCACGGCACTATGAGCATGCGTCGCACGAGTCGTAGAGTCAGAAACACGGATTTTCTGGCGATGGAATACCTCTAGATACCAAGACGTCCCTCGAATAAGTAGTCTAGATCTAGCATTTGCTGACGATTGGCGAAGGAGGGCATAGACATGGCCAGAACGGGGGAAGATCCGGTATTTTTTCTGTTTTGGAGCATTGCGGTGGCAGTACCTGTCCAGGTAGCTCGCAAAGTCGCAAGTGACTGTATCTTTCATTCGTACACTATCTAAGTCATACCTAGACTCGAACTTCGAGTCAAGATACTTCGTGGCGGTGGAACTTGGAGCGAAAATACGGAGTATCAATGTCACGTTTGTCATCATAATGCAGTAGTCACTAGTCAAGACTAAAAAAGCAGTCTCAGCAGCTGGGCTGGGAGTTTCCTCGGACGATCTGAAACCAAGTCTAGGTGGATAGGTCTCTTGATTGCCTTGCCAGAGTCTTACGGAGTACTTCTGCCCCGTAAAAGTTCGCACTCTGTAGCAACTAGCAAGCCAAAAAGTGACGGCCCCACAAACTAATCCCAAACAAGTGAACGATAGGGTTCTCGAATTTCAGGGGGCGTTTCAGTCCTATCGCGACCCGGAAGGCGGAGGTTTCACCATATCAGGAACAGTGCACAAGTTCGGACCACATTTTTTTTCCGAAGAGTCCAAAACTTCCACTGAGATTTTAGAACGTGCTTCGACAAATATTTCCTAGAATAAGACTGGAGAATAAGGTTTCTTAGTCCCAATCTAGAGGCATTTGAATGAACCGGCGATGTGGTGAGCGATATCAATTTCAGGCGTCGCTCTCTGTTACATAGCGAAACGACTGCTGCAAAGCGGTGGACAAGCTAATGCGCCTCAAAGATGCTGTCTCGAGTAATGGCTATGCTAGTGATCAATAGCTCCATCAGTGGCGACGATAGTGGCAAGGAATGGACCGACAATTTCGCAAACAGCTCGAGAGTCATCCAACGCCTTCCCTGGATAGCAGTGGCAGTCCATGGCTGAACCTCTTTCGCGACTTGGAACGATGCCATGGCAATCGCCACATTGCAAGAGACCCTTGCGAATTAACGAACTTAGGCGACACAGGTGCCAACATCTTGGGGAGTCTCAGCTTATCGCCGTCCCCTTGTCTTCGTTTTCCCTCTGCCTCCTCTACTTGAGCGGCGCGAGCTTTGGACCACGGCAATGTCTCGCTTGCTCAAATTCAAGGTTCCACCTGAGAGCTTTCCGATGCCAGGACCTGCGATGCCACGTTCTCGCCGTCCCTTGCTAACTTTTGACTTGTGCGTCGGCTTCTCGAGAATGATACCATTCTCCTTAGCTTCTCGTCGTCGCTTCTCCTCCTTCGTCAGTGCCTTCGCTTTGATCCCCCTTCGGAGCGACGAAGGCATATTCTGGTGATAGAGCGATGTTTTGGCCCCGAGAGACTGCATCCTCAGGTCTAGAGCTTTCAGACGGTTTTTGCCGGTTGGTGCAAGTTCAGATGCGGAGTCCAAAAGATGAGACTCCTTGAGTAATCTTTGCAAAGCAATATCATTCTTTAGGTGTTCCGCATCCATAGCATCATCATCGTCATCCTCCTTTTCGTTCTTGGCCTTAGGTTTTGTGGTTGTCGACTCCGTAGACAATGTAGGTGGCTTTGCGGTCTAGCAGGTTCGTAGAGGTTAGTATAACAATGCCTTATTCTAACTCCCATCTAGAAAAATACCATAAAAGCCTTCCGGGCCTTTTTGTCCAGTATTTCCTTCTCCTTCGTGGTTCTGTCCTGGTACTCGACAACCTCGACCTGGTTGCCTTCACCCTCCTCGGACACACCATCCCATTCCGAACCCAACTCCGATACATCACTGTAATCCTGCTCGTCTTCTTGCGACTCTTGCTCACGATTGATCTGTCCACCAGGCAACTCTAAGGGCTCAAATTGAGCCTCGAAGAATTTCCGGAACAGGTCATGAGCAGAAGAGGCGGCTGGAACAGTAGAGGTCTGTTCTTCGTCTTCTGTCTTGGAAGATCTTGACGCAACAGCTGTATCTCTCTTTCGTTTTCCGATCATTTTGAATTGATCTGTTTAATGCAAGCGTAGTGTAAGTGGAATCTGGGTCATCGCCCCGAAGCTCCTTTACCGCTTCATTTTTTTGCGGACATCTTCTGGTCACGTGTGATAAGATAAGCGCAGCCCCTCGTCCTATCAAGACTACTGTGGGTTACCACTATTGCTAGAACCCATTCTGTGGGAACGGATTGAAGTTGACAAGATGACCAAGTTTCGACCTTGTATTGACCTTCATTCGGGTCAAGTGAAGCAGATTGTTGGGGGCACCCTGAGTGATAGAGACTCAGACCTAAAAACAAATTACGTATCAAAGCTCCCCGCCAGTCACTATGCAGAATTATATCGGAAGCATGAACTGCGCGGTGGTCACGTTGTGATGCTCGGGCCTGGCAACGACGAAGCTGCAAAAGAAGCGCTCCGTACGTGGCCGGAGGGGCTACAGGTTGCAGGCGGGATAAATGACAAGAATGCTCAATATTGGATTGACCAGGGTGCGGACAAGGTAGGTCCTCTTCTCACTCTGGCTGTATTTGGTTGAACTATCTGTGCTCTCGCTGGGTACAATGAATCTGTAACTCATCTCTATGTAGGTTATAATCACCTCCTTCCTTTTCCCGGAAGGAAAGTTCTCTCTTGAACGATTGCAGTCCGTTCTCACGGCTCTGGGAGGTGACAGATCCAAGCTGGTCTTGGATCTCAGCTGCCGCAGGAAGGACAACACATGGTTCGTGGCCATGAACCGCTGGCAGACTATCACAGAAATGGAGATTAACCAGGGTATACTTCCATTCCTTTCTATACTTCCCACCACGCCGGAGCTAACCCTACCCCAGAATCAATCTCAATGCTTGAGCCATATTGCTCCGAGTTCCTCATTCATGCTGCGGATGTGGAAGGGCTACAGCAAGGTATTGATGAAGAGCTTGTGGCGAAGCTGGCCGAGTGGTGCTCAATACCTATCACATACGCTGGTGGGGCCCGGAGTCTGCAGGATCTTGAAAAGGTCCATGTGAGCAGTCACGGAAAGGTCGATTTGACTATTGGTAGTGCTTTGGATATCTTTGGTGGCTCGGGTGTAACGTTCGATGAGTGTGTGCGGTGGAATCAACAGCATTGATTATGTATCATATAGGGACTCTTGCTGGCGTATATGCAGAAGATCAAACCTCAATCGGCAAGCCCCATGAGGGAGATCATTCATACAATAATGTGTTCATGGGCTAACTCTATTCAATATGAAGCAAAAGACGCCTCTCATTAACTATAAGTGCGTCGAATCGTCAGCCTGAGGAGGAAGTTTCATGTTCATGGCCGGCACGAACGATCAGGTGTTGAAGTACAGAATGAGAAATGGATGAAATCCAGCTTCTCGCTCTAGATTTCCGATGTCCTTTCGCATCAGGATGGTGAGCCGTTTTCTTTCTTCTTCTTTTTCTTTTAAGGACGCTCAGCCGGCGGGTAGGCGTTCAATGCCAGCCTCTTGCTACTCAGTAGAAAACTGGTGCGCCTCGTGAATAAGAGCGCAACGCTCAATCAAACCCTCTCTTACAGCAGGTTCTAGTAGTGACTGGGAGTCAAACTAAATGCGGTCAACAGTGACAAACCCTCAATCTCTTATTAAGTTCTACAGACGACCTTTTTCCTGTAATTCCTCGTGCATCGGGCTGATGTTCGTGTACACAAGCGGTTCCAAATCTCCCTTTGTCGGAGTACATGGAGTTCTTGAGTCTGCCTAATAGAGAACTTGAGAAAGTTAGATCCAACATGTGCGTTGCCGTCTGATGAATTGAAGAACCCAGGATTCTGTTTAGTTCTAATGGAGTTATTCTTGAAGATGGAAATGATGTTGCTGCTTTCGCAGCGGATGACGGGAAATGACGAGGACGACGCTCATTGGACCTCACATGCCAAATGCGGCTAAGGCGGATCAATACTACCTTAGAGCTCTCCGCCTCCCCTCTGGAGTGCAAGCGGCAGACAATACGGAGTACAAACATCAAAAGCTCCTGCATCTCCATTATTCGAGCTCTCATGAGCGAAGCCACTAATTCGCAGTCGACTTCATATTTAATATATCACCTCCATTGTCTTTTACAGACCGACTGCCGATCGTCGCGAGGATAAGTCGACCTCTCAGCCAGACCGCATTGCTTGACGTCTATCAATCACTTATCGCACCTCTGGTCACGACAACGTCGAAATGAAGCCCGTTGTATCGGTTCTCAATGCCTGGTCCTGGTAAGGTCATTGTCTTCGTCTACACAGAATCAAAAGACTAACAATACGTCCGATACAGCGTGGTCATCTCCGCCTTCGCAATTGTCATTCTGTCCATCCTCGGATCGTTATACAAGGTTCGTCTGCTGTCTTACGTATCCGCTCAACAACCATATATGCTGCCTCGATCCCCCTTTTGCTCCGATCACAGAGAACAGTGGATTGTTATGATGGCCTGCTAACGACGTATTCAGAGCGAACACCATGGATTCGTCGGATCGGAAAACGACCCCGAAGATGGCGGTGCAGTTGCTGCTTCGATTTTCACCGCTGTGGTCATATACGCTGTAAGTCTATCGCACCACCATCCTGCGCGTCAAGTGCTATGGAGTGGATGTCCTGACACATTGTCGTGGGTAGTGTTTCTTCGTTTTCTGTGCCTTCCAGGCTTACCTGCACACGAGAAGCCGCCGGGGAGGTGCTATATCGCTAAGCTAGACAATTTCTTATATATTTCTCGCAAGAAAACATGGAACTCGCCATTTGATTTATGTCCGTCTTACGAAACAAGGGATATGTCAAGTGCCTCCGTGGACGCTCATGAACGTGTGTATCTCTTTCGATTCGGCTCACGACGGCTGTCGATCAGATGACGAATACACATCCCACATTATCTCCTGAGCTTTCGTTCCGGTGATTGTGATGTCCGTGATTGCTTTAATCCGGTGGTGTTCCTGCTTCAACGGTATCTGTCTTCGACGTTTTTAGAGCACACTTTCTTTACCGTGGTTGGGCCGGAGTACATATTGTGTCGTCATGTTTGACATAGAGCTGCTTCAAAATCTATTTTTTACTGTCGCAGGGACAATTCCGAAATAGCAGACTGGGCCTTGCTCAAAAAGTATCCAACTCTATCATTTCGAGGTCTTGGAAACTGGGAAGAGCAAAAGAACTATGAACATATTTACACCCAATTGTGAAAAGCAGGAGTTAAGACATGTACCGGGATCGAGATTGTAATGCATCGAACCACTAACGCCACGATGCAAGAAACGCCTGAAAACACCCAATGATGCCATGAATCTCGACAAAACCCGACTTTTTGAGAGCTCAACCTTTAGAAACCATTATTATCATATCAGTTTTCGACATCAAACAGAGACAAAACGTTCTCGTGCTTATCCGAGTTAGAATTCTTCGTCTTCAATTGGGTCAAGCATCTTGGACATGTAAGGACCGTCCAGTGTGTACCCGAGACGAGCATAGTAGCTGCGGACACCAACTCCCGAGATGACACTGATCTTCCGGCTTCCATGTTCTTCTCGCGCGATCCGCTCGGCCTCCTCCATTAGCAGGGTCCCAAATCCTCGGTGCTGAAACTTCCGCGGATCGCGGCCGTGGAGCGGTACCGCAGAGCCATATACGTGGAGCTCTCGCACAATACTCGTCTGCTGGCCGGTGAATTCCGGACGGAAAGTGTGAGTCGGACTGCACTTTCGCAGACGCAGTAAGCCGATGAGAATGTCCTGCTTGGGATCTTCATAGGCGAGGAACGTTTCCCAGCCACCATTGGCAGTATAGTCCCGACGGATGAGCTCCACTTGCGACGGGCGGATTTTGTTCTTTACTTCATTGATACCGACTTCGCGGGTGCGCACATCACGACATGTTGTACCAAAGTCTTTCATGCGTGCCAAAGCCAGTTCTCGAAGGTTGCCATTCTCCACGCCGGAAGTGACCAGAGGCATTGGAATATCTCGCTGCACACGGTAGATACGCGTCCATGGAGGGACCAGCGCAAGGATTCGAGCGACAAGATCTACCAGCGCGTTGGGAGTGTAGTTCTTGTAGCGGCCCGTCCTCCAAAGCTCATACAGACCTGTACCCCGAATGACCAGCGTTGGATAAATCTTCAGACCGTCCGTACGGAAGGCTGGGTTTTCAAAATATTCCTGAAACTGGAAAAGATCCCGTTCCATGCCGACATTCGGCAGATCCGGCATCATGTGGCTAACGACCTTGAACCCAGCATCCTTGGCGAGCTTGAATGTCTCCGCCACCGCAGCGACAGTATGGCCTCGATTCGTGTCCCGCGCAACATCTTCATACAAACTTTGCACGCCAATTTCCAATCGAGTGCACCCATATCGAAGCATATCACTTAGATGAGTATCCAGACAGTAATCAGGCCGCGTCTCGATCGTAATACCCACGCATTTTATGTTGCTCATTTCGCCCGCCTGAACAGCCTCGTCAACATTGTCCGTCTGGTACCCACTCAGCGCATTGTGAAGCTGAGCGATGAAGGATTCTCTGTAATCCGGCGGAAGAGACATGAATGTGCCACCCATGACAATATATTCCACCTTGTCCACACTATGGCCGAGAGACTTAATCTGATCAACCCGACCTCTCGCTTGTTCAAACGGATCGTACCGTGCTCGGATCGCGCGCATCGATGTCGGCTCGTAGCCAGTATATGACTGTGTCGAATACTCAAAATCCGAATCAGGTCCACCAGGGCAGTAGACACAAATGTTACCGGTGTAGGCAATATGCGGACAACGGTGAGGTTTGCTCATCACAGCGACAACGGCAATTCCCGACGACGTCCGAATAGGCTTCGCGATGAGCTTGGGTAAGATATACTTCTTGTATTGTTCCGGCACGGCAGCGATAATAGCTGTCAAGGGAGGTTGCGTAGCCAGGCGATGCTTCTTCGCGATTTGGCCGCGCAGCTTGTTGAGGTTGATATCTTTCCCCGGTTTGGATGAATCCCTCTGCGCTTCATATTCCTGAATGAGCACGTTTGCAATATCAGAGCAAGCTCGCATATAACGTTCATTTTCTGGTGGGAGTTTCTCGTTGCCGTTCTTGGGTTTGGATGGTGGCGGCATTGTCATGGTGAGGGTCGCCATTGTGAAATGGACTACTGCGACGATCGCAGATCAAAGCAGACCCTTAAAATCACAATGCAAGGGTTGGACGGTACTATAAAGTCCAATACTAATCTTCCCAGCTAGATAAGCTAGGATGAAGGAATAGTCACGATACCGCTTGACGGAGGGGCAGATTTGTTATCGGCAATATTTGTATGTGATCTGGTATTAAATTGATAGGAGGGAGATGGAAAAAAAGGATCGCCGAGGGAGCCAACCCGACCGCCGCGACAAATCGGATCCGCTTAAAGCTTTGTCCCGAAAAGTCCAAACCCCAAACCCATCCCGGCGCGTTTTCCTGCTGAAGTGTCCCATGTCATTTTGATATATTCTGCAAAGCTTCCCCAGATCTTCAGTTCTTTTCTAGCACACTTACCGGTGCACTCTCCCCTCTATTTTTTTTTATCCTTTGCATCTCATAGGCAACTATGCAGGCTTTCCGCCGTAGTACCCTCTCTGCCCTCCAGAATGCCGCTGCTGTGCAGCGACGAGCTTACAGCCAGGGCAGCTCGATCTACTCTGAGACTGTGAACAACCTGCGCATTAATGCAGACACCAAGGTTCTCTTCCAAGGTTTCACTGGAAAGCAGGGAACGTATGTTGCGGCGATATCTGCCTTGCCATTTAACTGCATACATAGATGCTGACGTTGCTTTTTTTTTGGCTGCAAACAGTTTCCACGCCGAACAAGCCATTGCCTATGGTACATTACGATTAACCCCTTGATTTTGGTTGTGTCGGTCTACGACAGGAGTCCAGAAGCTTACAATTTCTAGGAACCAAGGTTGTCGGTGGTACCAACCCCAAGAAGGCCGGTACGATGCACCTTGATAGACCTGTTTTCGCAAATGTCAGCGAGGCTGTGAAGGAAACTGGTGCCACTGCCTCTGCTATCTTCGTCCCGTATGGAATCATAATCTCTCTTTCCGTCGTTGTCGGAATGACTGATACTGATATATTCCAGTCCCCCTCTCGCCGCTGCTGGTATTGAGGAGGCTATCGCGGCCGAGGTTCCCTTGGTTGTTTGGTGAGTTGTGCTCCCATTTCAAGAAAATGCCGTAAATTAGCATCGCTGACGCCCATGTTCCGCATTTCGCAGCATTACCGAGGGTATTCCCCAGCACGGTAAATCTCTATGCTCCGCGCAATATAGCTTCTTTTTGCGCAAAAATTGACTCGAAATCAACAGACATGGTTCGCATCACGGATATCTTAAAGACTCAGAACAAGACCCGTCTGGTTGGACCCAATTGCCCTGGTATCATCGCTCCTGTAAGTTCAATTGCATCCAAAAATTTGTGGTATGACAAGGCCATGCGGTGTGTTGATATGCTCTTTTTCTACGTTGTAGGGCCAATGTAAAATCGGTATCATGCCTGGATTCATCCACAAGCGTGGTCGTGTCGGTATTGTGTCTCGGTCCGGAACCCTGACCTACGAGGCTGTCAACCAGACCACTCAGGCCGGTCTCGGCCAGTCGCTCGTTGTTGGTATCGGTGGTGACCCCTTCTCCGGTACTAACTTCATTGACTGCCTCAAGATCTTCCTCGAGGATGAGGAGACAGACGGTATCATCATGATTGGTGAGATCGGTGGTAGCGCCGAGGAGGATGCTGCCGAGTTCTTCAAGGCCAACAACAAGCACAACAAGCCCGCTGTTGGTTTCATCGCTGGTATTAGCGCCCCCCCGGGTCGTCGTATGGGTCACGCCGGTGCTATCGTCAGTGGTGGTAAGGGTGGTGCTGACTCCAAGATTGCGGCCCTCGAGAGCGCCGGTGTCACTGTGGAGAGAAGCCCTGCCCATCTTGGTAAGACTCTGCTCGCCGAGTTCGTCAAGCGGGATCTGGTCTAGATGGACTCCCAGTGAGAGAGTTTTCCATTTGTCCCTCAGGCAGTGTGGCTTGGCTTGGGCCTATTAATGTTGGATTGCAAGGTGGTGCGTGACTGTGCATTAGGGCACCTTATACTCATACCTATTATTACCCCAGGACGGCCTCTTCTTTTGTCCGTGTGTTCCTTGGCCAAATGTACCTTTTCTTTTTCACCTTTCTCGGCTGTTTAGAGATGATAGGAAGTAATTAGCTTCGATATGTAAATTTCATCGTTGTTTATCCCTTTTGCAAAGACTCAGATTGTACTATATCTCTGGCTTCGTCAATCTCTTCGCTGCTACTGTCTTCGTGGCGGATCATCTCCTCCGCAGTCACTTCATGAGGAATCAGCCCCATTCGAAAGCCTTGCGGCATGCAGATATACATATCGACTGGAGCGTGGGATGTCTCGCTCGGGACTGAGAGGGTGGAATTGAATGTGTCTGTTTGGTTGTAATTGCACATTGCCTTGTCCCTGGGTCGTCTTGGCCGAAATATGTTCGTTCGAATGACCTTGAAAGTTGAAGTCAACCACAATGCATCAGCGGCTCGACTGAATAAATACATTCAATCTGGTTTGGCTTCACTTGTACCTACGTCGTTAAATTAAAAAGAAACAGACACATGTTCGCTAAAAGGTGGTTGCATGCTACTAGTGCAGCTTGAGGACCTGTATTTACTATTGAAT